CTGGAGGGAGTGAGATTTCCCCAGGAAATTCCAGTCAGGCAGTCCTTGCTACTCCTGAAGAACAAGCAAGTGCATGGTTGTGATGGGACCAACATCCTCAGTGCCACCATCCTGGCCTTTTCCCTCACCAACAGCTTTCATTTTCTTCCTACTTAGCCTTGGTGATTGCTCTGTGTCCTTCAAGAAAATCTATCAAGATTACCCCTTTAAATGCCAACAAAGAATTATGAGAAGTTTCTGAGCTCTCTTTCTTGAATGTCACTGGTCTAGCAGATCCCCTTAGAAGACACGATTTTGATTGGACTTGGGTTCAGTTATGGAACTGGAAACACGGGGAATCCAGGGCGGATGATCCCTTCAGGGCCAGTGGTGAGACTGGCGATACCAGGAGGGTGGGGTAGAAAGGGGGAACCGATTACAAGGATCTACATATAATCTCCTCCTTGGGGGATGGACAACAGAAAAGTGGGCGAAAGGAGATGTCAGACAGTGTAAGATATGACAAAATAATAATTTATACATTATCAAGGGTTCATGAGGGAGGGGGGAGCGGGGAAGGAGGGGGGAAAATGAGGAGCTGATGCCAGGGGCTTACGTGGAGAGCAAATGTTTTGAGAATGATGAGGGTAACGAATATACAAATGTGCTTTATACAATTGATGTATGTATGCGTTGTGATAAGCATTGTATGAGCCCCCAATAAGATGATTTTTTAAATCTGTCTTTATTAGATTTGATGTTGCTTAAAAAACAGGCAAAGATGGGCAGCAGAGGGGTGGGTGAAGGGAGACGCCAGACAGTATAATATAAGATACAATAATAATTTATAAATTATCAAGGGTGCATGGGGGAGAGGGGAGGAGGAAGGGAAGGGGAGGGGAAAAAAGGAAAATGAGCTGATTCCGGGAACCCAAGAGGAAAGCGAATTTTGGGAATAATGAGGGCAACAAATGTATAGATGTGCTTTACACAATTGATCTATGTATTGTGATGAATTGTATGAGCCCCAATAAATTGATTAAAAAAAACAAAACAGGCAAAGACCAGTTATTTGAACTAGATGGTCTTAATGCAATTCTTTTTAAAGGAATCCTAGCAAGATTAAGTGCATTACAGAGAGAATGTGTCTGCAACTATCCATTGATTGCAGAGATATGTTGGACTACATTTTCTTTAGCATAAACCCTTGTATGTATGAACTGGAGTTATCGTAGCAATGTGTTTTGACTTACCCTCATCTATCATGCAGCTTTTGCCAGTCTTTTACAGGTCTACAGCTTATTGAGACCCTCTGGTGGCAGAGTGGGCCACTAACTGCAAGGTCAGCAGTTTGAACCCATCAGCTGCTCCGTGGGAGAAAGATTTTCTCCTATAAAGATGTACAGCCTCAGAAATCCACAAGGGGTCAGTTGTACTCTGTCATGTAGGGTTGCTATGAGTCAGAATTAACTCAGTGTCAGTGAATTTGGAATTAGAGCACAGCTGACTGACAGCAGTTACAGTAATTGACTGTGGATCCACAGGGTTTTCATTAGCTGATTTTCTGTAGGTAGTCAGGCTCTTCTTCCTTGTCTTAGTCTAGAAGCTCCATTCAAACCTGCTTAGAACCCTAGTAACATGCAAGCCTTTGGGGACTGAGGTGATGCTTTGAATACCCTTGCCCCTTATGCTGTATGCTGAATCCCTTTTCCCAGTAACAATTTCTCAGGTAGTCTTTGTTACAGAATACATGCCATCGTGTGAAGTGAGTTCATGCCTCTGAAGTCCACTAAAGCAGAGACTGGTTAATCCTGGGGGAGCACTCGGTGTGCTTGTTTGTGGTGCTCTCACACCAGTCACTCATTACTGTCCTGCTCCAAGCAGACCGAGGCCATGTCAACTGAGTCCACTACTAATATCTTTTATGCCATGCACAGTCCCTGGCACAGCAGTTGCTCACAGAATATCTTAAATAGACAAAAGGTACTTTGTTCCCTAACTTAATTCCTGCATCTGTTTCCTGGGATCGGCCCATAGTTTTAGATCAATAAACATGTACTAATTATTTGGAACCCTGGTGGGGTAATGGTTATGCCCTGGGTTGCTAATTACAAAGTCCACAGGGCAAAATCTCTAGCTGCTCCATGGGAGAAAGACGAGACTTTATACTCCTGTAGTTGGTCTCAGAAACCCACAGGGGCAGTTCTACCAGCCGATAGGAAATCAACTTGATGGCAGTGTTTGTTTGGTTGAATCATTTGGTCTAAATGGCCTTCCTACTTGTCTTCCATCTTCCTGCAATCTGCCCTACAGTGGGCCACCAGAACTTAAAGAAACTCAAACTCGCCCTGCAGTCAATGCCAACTCATAGGGACCCTATAAGACAGGGTAGAGCTATCCCCTGAGAGTTTCCAAGACTGTAATTCTTTAGGGGAATAGAAAGCCCCGTCTCCTTCTCCCCACTTTATATATATATAGACTCTGTTCCCTTCCCTAAATCTCTGCTATCTTCCCATGATCTACAGTCAAAGATGCTCGCCTTGACATTCAAGGCTAAGGACCAAACTTCCTTTTGCAATTGTATCTAGTAAGCACTGGGCTAACCTAACCTGGTGATGTAGGTTACACATTGGGCTGCTAACCACAAAGTCAGCAGTTTGAGGCCACCAGCCACTGCGAGGTAGAAAGGCGAGGCTTTCTACTCCCATAAGAAATTTAGTCTCAGAAACCCACAGGGGCAGTTCTAGTCTGTCCTACAGGGTCCTGAGAAGTTGGAATAGACTTGACAGTTGAGTTTGGTTTTGGTTTGGGTGAGTCAGTGTTGGAATTCATAAGCCACTCGTGAAGAGACATGCCCAGAATAACTTTATTAGTGCATGACCAGCTATTAGTCTCTTGAGAACACAGATACTTTCAGACAATGAATTATAAAACAACTATGTTTTCATCTCCCAAACTAAAGGAGTTCTGGTGGTATGGTGAGTTACCTGTTAGCCTACTAACCTACAAGGTCAGCAGTTTGAACCCACCAGCCCCTCTGAGGAAGAAAGAGGAGGCTTTCTGAAGCACTCATTGATTTGCAGCCTCAGTGACTCATAGAGACAGGTCTACTCTGTCCTTTGGGTTTCTATAAGTCAGAATTGAATAGATGGCAGTGACGTTTTGCCTCCTGCAGAATGACAACTTCAGTCTAGAATTGTGATGTCCAATATGTTGGCCATTAGCCTTCAAGTGCTCAATATCCACAACACAGCTCTGAACTCACTGCCATCCAGTCGATTCTGACCCCATGCCCCAAGCACACATCTTGACTCTGGGGGCATTTTTAGTATTAGCTTGGGTCCTTGGAGCTCCCAACAAAGAAGTCCGAAAGAATTTAGCACACTATAAGCCTCCAGTGAATTTCCTGGGGCCACCGACTAGGGATGTGAACAGCCCTGCCCCCAGAGTACATCAGAAAGTGACTTAACGCAGGTATAGCTAAATTCAAATTTAACAGCTTATCATTTGTTTTCCCCTTCTAACCTGTTCTTAATTTCTTCTGTATTATTTCCTGCTTTCTTAAGGATGAAAAAAATGTAATTAATGTCATTGAACAAATTGTATCGAAACTGTTTAAATGAAAACCTAATTTAATTTGTTTTGTCAACTTTCACTGCAAACACCAAAAACATTTTGTTAAGAAAATTAAAAAGAAATTCCATATAATTAATAGGTACAGTTATTGCTTCCATCACAGCTTTGGTTCTGTCCAGCAGATTCTAACTTTCTCAAACACCAACTCAACCCCTAGGTACAACTGTGACGTCTCTCCCTGTCTAGGACAAAGAAGAGTGAAGACCATCAAAAACACATGGAAACAATTAGGCCAGTAGACTGAGGAAGCATGAGAATTTAAGTTTCCATGACCCTGAGCCCAGAACTAGACCGTGTCTGGCTTACCACTACCAAGTGGCTCTCTGAAAGGGATCACATCAGAACAGCGGTTCTCAACCTGGGGTTGTGACCCCTTTGGGGGTGTATCAAACGATCCTTTCACAGGGGTCAGCCAATTCATAACAATAGCAAAATTACATTTATGAAGTAGCAACGAAAATAATTTTATGGTTGGGGGGGTCACCACAACATGAGGAACTGGATTACAGGGTCGCGACATTAGGAAGGTTGAGAACCACTGCATTGGAAGGTCCTGGAGAGAGGGGGAGAAAAATGTGGAGACCAGCTTTACTCATCTGATAGACTGGTGGAATTCCAAGATCATGGTCCTTAGTCACCCTTCAGGTTTGGATCTGATCTCACCCTTGGTGGCTCAATTTTCAGCCAAAGGACAGGTCTAAGGAGAAGAGTAACACCAGAGATCAGCACTCCTTAGAACCATTAACCCTTTCAGATCAAAAGGGCAGCATGTCCTCAAGGACACAGTTCAGAAGGTGAGAGGAGGAGAAATGAAAATAGGCAACAGTGGGGAAGTGGGCTCAGTGATGCTACATTGTCAGGATTGTTTGTAATCAACGGCACAAAACAAAATGTGTGTGAATACATTTTGAATAGAAAGACGGGGTTGCTCTGTAAAACTTCACCCAATTCACACTAAAAAGTTTGAAAATAAATCAAAAGAGCAACACGAGAGACAAACAAAAAATCCCAAGTGCTAGTACACCAGATCAATGTATGTGTATAAAGGGGATAGGACGGAGGGAATTGTTAACTTTTTCTATTTTCTGAATATGTTAATATACTTTTATCATGAAAAGGTCTATTTCATTATTGAGCATAAAATTACACTTAAGAATCCTCCCCACCCCCCCAATAATTTAAGGCAAAGGATTCTTGTAAAGTATATACCTCACACTGCTAAAAGTTTCTCTCAAAACCTGAAAAAAAAAGTTTCTCTCAGGGTTGAAAACCCAGGTTATACCTACCTTGAGCTTTTACAGCTCATCTGAGACCCTAATGTCACTCCTGTCTATGCACCTCCCCCTACCCCCCACCCGCGGAAGGAAGGACAGACACACGGAAGATTTCCAAAACCACAAAACATTTATTCTGAGATTTCCAAAATCAGGAGGAATTTAAGTAATGGGGATTGGGTCCTCCTCGGGGTCTTCTGGGAAGTCGGGAGGCCCACCCGCTCCAGCAGCTTGGTATTTCTCCAGTTTGGCAATCAATTCTTTCGCTGGATTGAAGACGCCATTGGTCTGCTGGTCACAGACATAGCAACGAGGGGTGGTGCGGAAATGCTGCAGTGCACAGCGCTCGCAGAAATAATGCCTGCATTTGGTGACAACGGGGTTTTGGAAGGTCTGGCGGCAGATGAAACACTTGAATGGTATTTCCTCATCGTCGCTTCCTACTTCATAGTTTTCATCCTCATAGACGCCATAGCGACCCTCATCAAGCTCACGTTCGATCTGCCACCCATGCTTGTAATCTGAACGATCGTGGAGGAACTTGCAGCTGTCTCCGAAGCCGCAGAAGCCGGTCTCCTTGTAGTCCTTACAGATGTCTGGCTGGTAGTCCCAGCGCACCGTGGCACGAAGATGCTCGGGCGCGCGAATGGGACCTTTCCTGGCCATTCCGGAGGAGGCATTGCCCATTGACGTATCCTTGGGCTTCATGAATTTCTGATAATTGTTGATTCCCCGATAGATCTTGTCATCTTCCTTGCCCCTCAGCTCCTCCTGGATTTTCTGGTTGCGCTCAAAGATGGCTTGTGCATCGCGCTCTTTCTCGGTATCGAGCTCGTAGACTGCGGTCGCTCCCATATCCTCGGGCCCCACGGGTTTCGCAGAGCGGGTGGACTTGTAGACCACACCTACACTCTCGGGCTCGTTCTCCTCCTCGCTGCTCACGTGGTCGTAAGCCGCCTTTTGTCTCCCGCTGCCACGCGTCTTCTGTATCATCGGATTGTGGATCGTCCGTTTCTTCTCCGGCCGAACCACGGGGCTGCTTTCCTCGCCACTGCTGCTGCTCTCCTCCGGCTCGCGCTCGCAGACTGGGCGCTTCCTCCGGCCCGCAGCACCTTTCCGCCCGGGCTTTTTGAAGAGGAAGGTGCACACCTGATCGGCCGACTGCCCCGGAGAAAGTTGCTCTGCCATTTTGGAGGCGTTAGCTGCCAACGGCGCCGGGCGTGTGCTCCGCGGGGCGGCCGGGGAGCAGTGACCCGGGAAAGCGCTGCGAGAACGCTCCAACACCAGGCGCGGTTGCGCACACTCTTGAGCCTTACCGGCCACCGTCGCTCCTTCCGGCGCAGGCTGGCCGGTGACGTGCCGCGGGGCTTGCCGGGAAGGGAGTTGAGCTGAAAGCCGGTCACCTTTGAGTGGGCTTGGAGGAAAGTTCGCCGCGATGTGGTTTGAGATTCTCCCCGGACTCGCCGTTATGGCGACCTGCCTGCTGATTCCAGGAATAGCGACTGCTCACATCCACAAGTTCACTAACGGGGGCAAGGTGAGCCGGTTCCCCCAGCCTCGGCTTTCCGAAACGAAGGGCGGTGAAGGGAGGCCCTAGCGTCCGGTGGGAGACCTGGTGCCGTCGTGGTTACATGTTAGGCCGCTGACCGCAAGATGGGCAGTTGAAAATCATCTTCCACTACGGCAGAAATCGCATCCTAGTCAAGCAAGAAACCGCTGACTGTTATTCGGGGTAGAGGGGGTCCAAACTTTGAAACATGGGACTTTAGGCGACGAGTAGGCTTATTTCTGGCTGGATTTGGATTTTAATTTCCCGTGACAGTTTCATTTCCCCAGCTTCTCTTGCAGGCCCCTAAGAATTGACCCCCACCGCCCTGTTTTTCATAGCAGGTTTTCTTTCCTTCCCTCTCCGTAGCTCTTCACCTGGCCTCGGGAGTATTGGTCGGGAGTGCAGTCATTTGTTTGGGGGCTTGTTGGAGCCCTAAAAGGCAACAAGGGAACTTCCCCAAAGACAAGAAAGATAGTGATGCAGGTTAAAAGTAGATGCAAGAAGCCAAGTTGGCCTTAATTCTGAATTTAGTGGTTTGATTTTTATGTAAGAACTTCTGGTCTTGTTAGTCTTGTTAACATTTCATCTCTTGGGGTCAGTCTTCTTTATTAAGTGCAATAATAATTGCTTTTTATTTGTAGGAGAAGAGAGTTGCCCATTTTCAGTACCAGTGGGCTTTGATGGAAAGAGATCGGCGTGTCTCTGGGGTGAATCGTTACTACGTATCAAAGGTAAGATGACCCTGATACTGTCCATCTGCCAGAGTTAAAGTGGGTCTGGTGATCCCTGACCCAGGATCATAAGCTGGCGAAGAAGTGGCAGAGCTGAGATTTCTAGAAGCCTTACACTGTACTATGTCTAGTTGGTTTGATTATGGCCTCATTTGTCAAGATCAAAAATTGAGGTTGCTGTCCATTGCCTGCAAATTGTTTTTATCTTAGGGACCCTTGGTGGTGGTGTGGCTTATGTGATGGGCTGCAGTCTGAAAGGTCAGCTGTGTGAAACCACCATCCACTCTGGAGAATGATGAGGCTTTCTACCCCCTTAAAGGGTTACAGTCTCAGAAACATACAGGGGAAATACTGCTCTGCCCTATAGGGTTACTGTGTGTCGTCAGCATTGACTCCGTTGCCGTTAGTTTCAACTTTATCTTGGATTATGGGCTATGATACAATGGCTTTTAATTGCCAGGGGGAACACGGAGTAATTTTCTTTTCTGAAAAAACAAAAAAAGAAAAGAAAAGGGGGTGGTAGGCCAAATAAGTTTGGGCACTTCGGCTGTAGCCCAGGCATTGGCAGATTGTGACTCTGGAGTCATATGCGGCTCTTTCGGTCTATCCATGTGGCTCTGAAGTCAAATGGAAAGATTTGCTATTCAGATAATAGCAATTTTATTTGTTTGTTAAAATATACTTATGCTCTTGAATAATTTTTAAATTGTTGTGAGGGACAGGATTGGCTCATCCGACTCAGTTTGCCAACCCCTGCTGTAGCCTGATCTTTCTCCTTCCCCTCCCACCCCGGGTATCCATAAGTCTGTTTCTTATGGTCTGAAAATCTTTTCTTAATACATGTTTTTAATACCAGTGGTCTCATGCAGTATCAGCCCATTTGTGATTGACTGACTTCACTCAGTCTAATGTCCTCCAAATCCATCTGTGTCTTGAGGGGTTTCACAAATTCATCGTGACTCTAGTGGTCAATGCACAGTGTTGCGTTGCGTGTATCCAAGTTGGTTTATCCATTCTAACACTGATGGCCATTTGGGTTGTTTCCATCGTCTTGCTATTGGAATAGTGCTGGGATTGTCCCTTATTGTTTTAGGGTATACAGCAATTGAGGAAAGAAGGTTGCTGGGTCAGATGGCATTTCTACTCCCAGTTGTTTGCGGAAGCGCCATACCACTTTCCACAGTGGAGTGACAGTTTTAAGGGCATAACGTTTTCCCCGATAGGTAGCCCATCGACACAATGGCGTGTTTATGGACTAGACCATTCTATATTTGACATACTGGGAAGTTAGATTTGACATACAATTGGGCCTGTTTCACAGATATGAGCTGGTGGACTCTGGATTCCTGCACCAATGCCGCATTTAGAGACTCACCCTATGCTGTTTGCAATTGGATGATAAGAAATTGCTGGTTTTGTAGGTCAGAAATGCTCAAGAAGCAGCATTTTCACCTGGTTTAACCTCCTGCTACTACGTTCTTATGTCGTGTGGGCAGTTGTTCCTTCTCATTGGTCTGTTTGGTTTTTTAAATATTTCCTCTTTGTTCGCGAATTGAACCCAAGGTAAAGATGATTGTTCATCACGTGGAAGAGAAAACAGTGGGTCAGAGTGGCTAAGGACCATCAGAAGGTCTCCACCTAGGTGACCTGCCCTTGGATAGCGTGCTGATTTGATACTTGAGACAATTTAGTCAAATAAGTGTGATCAGAATTATTCACTCAACTCAAGCAGTGTTTCTTACCGGGTGGTCCCAGAAACAGCTGACCTATTCATGGAAATGCAAATTTCTAGGCTCCTGGCTATTTCAAAGGAATTAGGATTTCTAAGAGCCCAGTGTTTGGAATGCTGGGAATTGTAACCGCGG